GGAGCAACAGGAGGTGGCAACAGGGGGGAGGGCCAGCAGGGGGAGAGGCCCTGCCCCCAATCAGGGTGAGGGAGGTTCAATCGGGGCTGCAGTACAGTCATAGTGATGGGTTGTTCTGGTTGTTCCAGTGTTCTGGTGCTTGGCTTTTATATATACCGTATTTTCTGGCGTATAAGACGACTTTTGAAACGAAAAAAAGCCTGCTCAGATTGGCCAGAGTCAGAGAGGCGGTCTATTAAAAAAAGAACTGGTGTTGCCTCAGAAGTGGGGGTTAGTCTTATATAGCGAATATAGGCATAAACCTATGTTTTAACTGTAAAATTAGGGGGTCTTCTTATACGCCGGAAAATACGATATATAATTCTGTCCTACAGCTTTGTGATAGAAAATTAGATGTACATAGGCAAACCAGATAAACACAGACAGCACATTTTTTAAGACTGAAAAGAGAAAAATGAGAATAGTGAATCAAAAAGCCAAAAGGAATAGACAAATATTACCTCTTCTGACTTTTATTTGTAATCTTAACTATCTCTATCAGACTATCATACTGCTAAGGTCAAAGAGGGAGGCTGTCTGATAGCCCCTGAAGGCTGACAGAACGTTAATGGTTTCACCACTGCATGGTGTCCTCAGCTTTGGAGGTTCAGAAACTCCTTTTATCCAGCAGCCCTGGTCTGTCCCTCCTTGCCCGACTCTGGAAACTAGAAGTCTCCTACCTCCAAGCACATCACTGAAAATGAGTGCCCAGCCAATATGTTAGGAAATGCTCCCTCCAGAAGCCTGTGGGGTTTAGCAGTAGGGCAGCAGGCTGCCAGGCAGCTTGGACTTGAACATGGCTCTAGGTGCCCAGGTGAACTTCAGGCTGAGATCTCCGATTAAGCCCCATCTTTGTGTGGTCAATACATAAGCCTGACTAGCCTTCTCCCTCCAGTTAAAAAACAAACAAACCAAAAAACGCCTCCAATGTGCCAGGCTTTATGATCGGTAGTAGAAATACAGATAGGTAGAACATTGGCTCTATTTTAGAGCTTACAAGTTATTTCACAAGCAGACTATTTTTAGACAATTTGCTAAATGTAAGGCAGAAGGGTGGTCAGGAAGGTAAAGCCCAATTGAGTGGTCAGGGAGGGTGACAAGAAGGCTGGAAATAGGCTGAAAGCTGGGCAGAACCAGGAGACTTGTGGTCCGGAAGCCAAGAGAGAGTATTAAACAAAACAAAGAGAGAAAAACAGGGTCAGATTCTACAGATGTCACACAAAATTAACCAGAAGAAAGTGCATTCGATTTGTCAAACAGAAGAGGAAATATTGTCAACTGTTGAGAGGGCAGTCTGAGTGGAGGGGGGAGAAATTGTATGATAGAGGGGTTGAGGAATTAAGGGGAGACAAGAAGTGGGAAAAGTTTGGCTTTGAAAAAGAGAGTAAATCAGAGAATATGTGATTAAGGGAGAGTTTGGGTTTCTGTTTGATTTTTTTTTTTTTTTTTTTTTTTTTTTAAATCAGAAAGGCTCCTGAGAGAAATGAGCTTGGTGGAGATAACGACAAAGAGGTGACTTGTTTCATGGACCAACGGAACAGGTTCTTGGTTCGTTTCTGATCCTACTCCCATTTCCTCCTGAGATGAGCTCTGACTCCCTCTCCTGAGTCAACTAGCTCCCTCTGCTCAGGGGCGGGCTTTGCTTCTAGTCTTCCCTGTGCCTACTCAACTGTACCTCCCTCAGATATGACAAGGACATGCCCCACATGCCAATGACAACGACAGCTGCCTAGGAATCCTGATGACCACTTTCCTTCTCAAAGTATTTACTAATCTACAAAGAACTGGCAGAACTTTCCAGCAACTAGAATACTTCTACCATCCAGGGCTTCCATTTCCTGCATCAAGGTGCCCTGGAGGCTCAGCTAATTAACTGGACTTATTAATTGGGAAGTTGCTGGTTCAGAATGGATTCGTAACAAAGAGAAGTCTTTTGAGAGTTATTTAATCTAAGCTCTAGTGAAACCATTTCTAGTGACGGGAGTGCTCAAACCCACTCTAGATAGTGCTGGCCAAACTCTTGTTCTCTTGTCAACATTTTCTAGACTCCAAGCAGACCTTTTTTTTCCTCCTCAACTTTGGTATTTACAATCATGTTTTGGTGAAGTCCACCAGAAACTGTACCCTCATCTTCCTCTACCAGAAGTATACTGAGTGGCCAGATTATGCGTTCAGAGATCATAATAATCTGGCCACTCAGTGTATATGTAAAATCCCTTGGATAGATAATCCTGGTAATTATGCATGGTTTAGGTAGTTTATACTTGGTATGGTTTAATTTACAAGTTATTAGGGATGATCTTCCTTCACTGCTTTATTGAGTACCACTCTTTTTTTAAATCCCTCTTTAATTTTATATATTGTCTCTGTCCAGTGATTTCATTGAAATACTAAAATAAATTCATGTTTCCTTTTAAAGTATAATAATGGAACTTTCACCCTCTTTTTAAAGAAAACAAATTTAGAATCTAATAGAAAACTGTCATAGATAAAATGCTGGGATTGAATGTTTACTGTTCTGAATGCAATGCCTGTATCTATGACTACCAGAGGAACTCATCATAACCCTCTGAGGACAGGAATTTGTTTTTGTCTGCCATCCTTACTTAATGAAGATAGTACTCTCCCCTTGATAGGCACTCTATATATCGATGGATCCATTTTAATCAGAGTTCTAATAGGTTGAGTGTGATTTACCATTTAGGAAGAGATGTGTCTTCTTGAGGCACAGTGCTAAGTTTTTTGCTCTTTTGCCCAATAAAGCAACATGAAGCAACATGTTTTTCAGAAATACCATCTTTCTTCCTACCAAGATAGGGGTGAAAGAGCACTTACGTGGGAATCCGCTGGCTTAAATTTTAATTAAGTGACAATGCGGCACCCGGGTGCACACCTGCCAATACGTTTGGCATGCACTGAAGTTTCCTGAAATGAAGAATGCGCTGGGCAAAATCATTTGAGGCCGTTCCCTCAACAGTAAAATAAAATGATTACTGCTTGCTCCACGTCCCACACAAGATTGCTGTAGGGAACAGATGGTCGAATGTTTATGCAAGTCCTTGGAAAACTATTAAATACATTAGTAAAGTGGGAGTGTGTGTGTGTGTGTGTGTGGATACAGTCATTCCTATGAACTGGCATTTTCCGTGGCTAATAACTCATTCCATTTAGCATTCCTACTGAAGGCCGTAACGAATGCACGGAATTGTTCTAAGCACGAACTACGGCGTTTTAGACTTATTCCTAAATATGACAGATTTGCAGGTGGTGAGGTGCCATGGAAAAGTGTGATAGGACTCAGACTTTAAGGAGAACATTTTTTCTCTCGAGTCCTGTCTTCTGCCCCAAGGAAATTTCTGGCAGAAAGAGCACCAATCGATATGATGACTCCGATTGAGCATCTTAAATTCATAGTGACACCATCCTTTAACAAGGGAAGGGGACAAAGATTCCCCCCCTACAAAAAACAAAACAAAACAAAAACAGCTTTCCCCAGTGAAAGCCACTGACCAACGACCAGTCTAATGAAGACTGCGGAGCGCCTCGGCTCGGAAACCCCTGGACCAAGGAGACCAAGGAGCCCGAGGACCCCTCCCCCCACCCCTCCGCTGAACGGCGGCCCCTGGGGCCCAGCGCCCTGACGGACGGTTGGGGCGCCGGGACTCGCGGCCAGTTGGGGGGGGGGGGGGGGGAAATCAGCGGGCGCCGCGGCAGTTGGGGACTCCAGCTCCCGGCAGGCACCGCTCCTGCGGCCGAGGCGCGGGGCGGCGGTGCCCGCTGGGATTGGTAGTGCGGTCCGGGTAGGAGAAGGGGGAAGCCAGCCCCGGCTCCTTTTTCACGCCACCTTTCGGAAACTGGGTCTGGAAGGGTTCACGCCGGGCCCCCTCCCTGGTGCCCGGCGTCCCTCGGGAACGGTGGGGCGGGGGCGGCCGAAACCGGGCTAGCCGAGGCGGGAGGAGGCCGGGGCGACCCGTGCACGTGGGGGGGTGGTTAGCGCCGAGGAACCCGGAAGCCTCGCGCACCGCCCACCTTGGCTGGCGGTGACGGGTTAACGCCTCTCCCGGGTGGAGGTGGGGGGCGGGGAGCGTGGCGAGGCGGGGCGGTCCCACCCGACGCCTCCGGGAGCCGCCGCGAGCCCGCCCTCCCCGGCCCCACGCGCCGACGACGCAGCGTGGGCCCCGCCCCCAGGCCGCCGCGCATGCGCAGAACTCCCGCCCTGCCGCCCTAGCCCCGCCCCCCGTACCCGCCTCTCCCTTCCTCTCTGGCTCTTTCCGCCTCCGGTTTTCTCTTCCCTCCGCCCTCTCGCCCTCTCTTCCTCCTCCTCCTCCTCCTCCTCCGGCGGCGCTGACGCTCACGTCGGGTCCTGGCGTCAGACGCGCCGAGGCGGGGCGAGGGCCTCGTGCGGTATAAGTAGAGGGTGCAGGAGGCGGTGCTTCCCCTTCTCCCCGGCGGTTAGTGCTGAGAGTGCGGAGTGTGTGCTCCGGGCTCGGAACACACATTTATTATTAAAAAAACCCAAAAAAATTAAAAAATCTTTAAAAAACCCAAAAAAAAGAAATTTTACAGAAAAGTCCGCGTCTCCCTTCCCCCGCCGGAGACTTTTATTTTTTTTCTTCATTTTTTTAAAATAAAAATAACCCGGTGAAGCAGCCGAGACCGACCCGCCCGCGGCCCCGCAAGCAGCAGCAGCAGCAGCAGCAGCAGCTCCAAGAAGGAACCCAGAGACCGAGGCCTTCTTCGCTGCCCCGGACCCGACACCGCACCTTCGCTCCCAGCCGGCAGCCAGCGGCCAGCGGACCGACCCCGTCCGGCGGCTGTTGAGTAGTTTTCTCGATTCCGCTTGATTTTTGTCCCTCCGCGCTCGCCCCCGCTCCCCCTCCCCCGGCTCCGCACTCGCTCCCCTTCTTCCTCTCGACTGGAAAAAGGTCGCGGCCTGTGGCCCCGCGGGCAGCCGTGCCGAGATGAACCCCAGCGCCCCCAGCTACCCGATGGCCTCGCTCTACGTGGGGGACCTGCACCCCGACGTGACGGAGGCGATGCTCTACGAGAAGTTCAGCCCGGCCGGGCCCATCCTCTCCATCCGGGTCTGCAGGGACATGATCACCCGCCGCTCCCTGGGCTACGCGTATGTGAACTTCCAGCAGCCGGCGGACGGTGAGCACCGGGCGGCCCGGCGGGAGGGAGGGCGGGCGGGCGGGCGGGCGGCCATGAGGCTCCGGCGGCGGCGGGCGGGCTAGGCCGGCGGTCCCAGGGGAGGGGGCGGCGGGGCATGTCACACCCCCCGTTGTCCCCCCTTCCCCCCCTCGAGGGTCGGCGCAGAGAGGCTGGGCGCCCGGACCCCGGCGGGAACACGCGCCGCCGCCGGCAGCCGCACGCCTCTCGCACGCCCCGGCCACTTCCTCCTTTGCAACCATTTTCTCGGCCTCCGAGCCGCTCAAACTTTAGGGCGATGACGCGCCGCCGGGGGTGGGGGGCGGGGGTGGTGAGACCGGGCTCTCCGGGCGCTTCCGCCCGCGGCCGCGGGGTGCCGGGGAGCCGGGCGCAGCCCCCCCCTCGGACGGGAACAGGTAGGGGCGCTGCAGCCGCCCAGCCTCCCTCTGTCGCCGGCGCCCCGGCCCCGGGAGGAAGTGCCGGTCGCTGCCGGGAAGATAGCACGTGTTGAACCCCCGTCACCCCGCACACACAGGCCCAGAGGCCTGCCTGTCTCCGTAACTGGCCCCCCATCTCCTGGCGGTGGTCCCCAGGCTTCTGATGCCATTCCTCATAGCCTGCCGGGCATTGATGGCCCTGGAGCTGTGAATTACCGGGGTTTTCCCCAAGTTCACGCACTTCTCACTGGAACCCCGAAGGGTGGGTTGGAGGAGGGAGGGGCTGAGGAGGGTATCGGTTTCTCAGGAATTTAGACCATTTAGATTTAATAATCAGGTTAAGTTTCATAATGCTGGTAATTTGTTCAGAATATTGGTTTTTCTCTTCTAAAATAGTTCCTATGATTTTTGAGGGGCTTGACTTAAAAAAATGTATTCGCAAATGTGGGCTGTAAAATGTTACTTGTGAATGCAGTGTGGATCATCATTACTTATGTGGCATTGGAGTAGTTCAGGTTTCTTTTTTAAAAAGTAGCCTACAATATCCATAAGTCATGAAGAATGACCGAGTTTTGAATAACCAGATTCTAATTAGCTTGAGACTATGGGGAAGTATATTTCTAACCTTATGTTTTTATTTTGAAGTTCATTTTAAAAAAATTTTTTTGGTGGGTAGGATATGTGGCCTGATGCATGTGGCCAGGATTTTTTTTCTATATCTGGATCAACTGAATTCCAAGTCAGCTTCAGTCAATTTAATTTTGTAGAAAAGGTCTTAAGGGTAGAATTTAAACCTTTATTAAATCCACTTAGTCAGCTTTTCACTGGGTGAAGTTAATAATGGAGGTTTTGGGTAGGCAGACTATTGTGACACTGAACCAGAAGTTGTAAAACTGCACTGCAGGTTTCCTGCCCCTTTGCTCTGTAAGCAGTACCTCCAAATGTCACTTCAGACCAGTTCTTTTGAGAAGATAAAGGAATACTAGGGAACATAAGTTTGGGTCAGGTAATCACAATCTGAAGAATTGATAGAGAAAACTTGAACAAATTCTAGAGACCAGAAAATGGGGACTTGAAAAGTGGCTTTTGTTTTTTTCTAAGCTTAACCATTTGAAATCCAAAGGAACAACTTTTTTAATTTCTTGGGATTTGAAAAAAAATTGAATTAACCATGTTAAAATATACCCTATGTATTATCAGTATATCAATAAAACAGTGCTAGGACTAAAAAGAAATTAGCATTTTTCCATCTTCCATTTACTTGTTTTCTACATGTACAAATTATTGTCCTCCCCAATAGTTTTTTCTGTGGTTTTTTTTCTCCCCCCCCATTTATTGCTATGGCCTTATAGAATAATTTCTGAAAGTGACCAGTTTCTAATTTAGCTGGAAGAGGTGACTCATTCAAAAGAAGCTTAAGCAAAGTCAGCTAAAAAACTAGGGGAGCTGAGTAGGTGTGGTCAATTGATAAGGAGTTGACAGCTTATCTATCATCACTACCTTCTAGAAAATGGAACTTTCATTTTAAAAAGTGGCTAGAAAATTGGTCCTCTCAATAACTTTAGTTATGTTGGCATGGAATTTGTGAAACTTGTAGAATTTGAAGTGGACTGTTTTTCTCCTCTTAAGGGATTAGTCTTTCACTTAAGGATTTTTTTTTTTTAAATTTAGTCTCAACTTCTCTAATTTAAAGTGTTTCTTTAATGTACATAATTCTTCATAGGTCCTGAAATCACAGGGTAGATTTTGAAATTTTCTAACACTATCCAGAAATAATTGGTTAAATTATCAGTCAGTAAGTACAAAAGTGATCTAAAATAAAATTGGTTTTCTATCTCAAGAAAGAGTTAATAGTGAATTGTGAGTATTGTAGACCAAATTATGTATTCTCCAGCTAAGTATGCCCAACTTCACATTAGTTTTTGAGGCCTGATTGAATTTTTTTTTTCTGTTTCGAATCTTGATCTGAATAGATAATAGCCTTTTCTTTTTTGTTATATGGCAATATGAAGTTGTGCCATGAATCAGTGAAATCGAAAATGGACTGGTTTTTGCTTCATGTTGGTACTGATAAGCTGCAATGAAAGGACCAATTTTGGCAAGCAATAGGGAAGAAGCAGAAATGCTTAAAAATTCATAAACTGTTTAGCCTGTGGATAATCTTTAATTGCTTAATGTCTTTTATATTGCTCATTAAGCAGATTTTATGTGAAAAGAGATCTTGATTTTATGTTGACCAGGAACAAAAAGGTGCTTTTAAATATAATGGCAATTAAAGGGAAAGATTGTTTTAGAAATACATTATCAGTGATATTTCATTATTTAACAGGAAATTTGGGGCTTCTGATAGCCACTTCATGTGTTATATAACTTAAATCTCAACTCGGTTGAAGTAAGGTCCAGCCATCCTGTGAAGTCTGAAGAAATAAAGAGATTGTGGGCCCAATCGCTCGCCCCACACAGTTCATAAAATTTTAAGTGGCCTGTAAAAGTTTTGAAGTAATGATTCACTATGAAAATATCTTTCCTACAGCGGAGCGTGCTTTGGACACCATGAATTTTGATGTTATAAAGGGCAAGCCAGTTCGCATCATGTGGTCTCAGCGTGATCCATCACTTCGCAAAAGTGGAGTGGGCAACATATTCATTAAAAATTTGGACAAATCCATTGATAATAAAGCACTGTATGATACATTTTCTGCTTTTGGTAACATCCTTTCATGTAAGGTAAGCAACAGCGTGATAGATAAACATATTTATCATATTTTTTCCTAAATATAGCAACCATACTGTCTATTAATAATGCGTATCTTTATTTCCCAAATACCCAGGTTAAGTTTCAGTTGACATTTGAACAGTGCCCACTTAAATGCAGATTTTTAAAGTAAATATGTGTTTTCTGTTTGGGAATCCATGTATGCAGAGGGCCAACTATGCTTTGTCCTACACTGTTCTGTATAGCCACAGATTTTAGTATCTGTGGGGATACTGAGGGATACATTCTTATTTGGGGAGTCAAAAGTTATATGTAGATTTTGACTGCTGGGTGTCCATTCCCCTAAGCCTCCCTCCATCCTCTCAGCATTGGTCAGCAGTATGGTACTTTTGAACATTGGGAAAATGTTGAATTAATACTATGTAATGAAAAACTGTTACACATTTTCCCCTAGGTGGTTTGTGATGAAAATGGTTCCAAGGGTTATGGGTTTGTACATTTTGAGACACAGGAAGCTGCTGAAAGAGCTATTGAAAAAATGAATGGGATGCTTCTAAATGATCGTAAAGTGTAAGTATAAAAATTTAGTTATACTTCACATCTCTTTAATAGTTCCAATCAATGTATTAATTTTATAAATTAATGTATTTGTGCTCTTAATAAAGAGAAATTTGAATGAAAAGTAACAAACGTACATCTTAGGGTCGATTTTTATAATTGTCTTTCTCCACACTCAATGTAATGTTAAAATAACAGTGAACCAATAAAATGGTCAGCCTTCAAACTAAAAAGAAAAAAATGGGTATACTGGTATATAAAGCTTTTTCAAAGTAAGTGCATAGTTGAACTAAAAGCCAGACAGAAGCTTAATTGTAATTTCTGAGGTAGTAATTAGCCCATTTTCTATTTGAGGAAACTGAGGCTAAAATAATTTGCCTGTAGTTAAGTGCTGGCATAACAGATAGGTTAGAATACAAGCCAGTGGTCTAAGTTCTGAGCCCAGGGTGACTCTTTACTTGGTTATACTGCTGCAATTTATTGATGGATTATAAAGTGTTCCCCCAACTTTTTGAACCCATCTACCTCTTTAAAGAAAAAGCTGAATTAAACCAGAAGTCTTTATGATTAATCTTTCTGAAATAAACTTGTTCCTAAAAATTAAATGATGACACTGATGGCCTGAGCGTGTGGCTTGGTTGGTTGTGCATCTTCCTCTGCACCAAAGGTCAGTGGTTGGATTCCTGGTCAGGACATAGGCCTGGGGTTTGGACTGGATCCCCAGGACGAGTGGGATATCAGGAGACAGCCAATTGATGTTTCTCACATCAATCCTTCCTCTTTGTAAAATAAAAACATTTTTAAAAATAATAACACTGATAAAACTTGTGTAAGACTATTTCTATTATAGGCTGTAAGAAAACAACATTTTATGAGCCCCAAAATAGAACAAATCTTATTTCTCCTCAGTCAGTGGATCTGGGTAAATTCAGCTATGAGATCATATTGTAAATGACCTGTTAGTTTATGTTGTTGTGTAGTTAATGATGGCATACAAATTGGGTTTGGTTATAAGTCAACTGCATCATTCTTAAGGTATGGTGCTCATAAACCAGTGCCTCAAGTGGTGTGATCAGTCTGTGCATGAAGTTCTGTAAATGGTATTACCTGTTGGAATTTTGAGTACATTTAAATGAGAAATATTCAGCATTAGTATTCTCAGATGGAAACATAGTTTGCCAGTCAGCAGTGCTTCAACGGTGACAAAGTGCTCACTCATCACTGGTGGGTTGATTTTTGAGGAGGATTATAGGAAGTGTGTGTGTGTGTGTTGATTTTTTTTTTTATAGAGAAAGGAAAGGAGAGGGACAAAGAGTTAGAAACATTGATGAGAGAGAAATACCGATCAGCTGCCTCCTGCACACCTACTGGGGATGTGCCCACAACCAAGGTACATGCCTTGACTGGACTCGAACTTGGAACCCTTCACTCCTCAGGCCGAAGCTCTATAAACTGAGCCAAACCGGTTAGGGCAGGAAATGTTTGATATATATTTATTTTTCAATGGCACATTTAAGTTAAAAAGTGTAAGAGCCACTTTGAAAAGCTGCTTTGAAAGTTTTTGTCTTTTTTTCTAAACCCTCACTGGAGTGTATGTTTTAGGGAGAGGAAGAGAAACATCAAAACAAGGGTTGGTAACTTCCTGTATGTACCCTAACCTTGGATCTAACCTGCTACCTAGTTATGTTCCCTGACTTGGACTTGAACCTGCAACCTGTTTGGTGTACAGGACAATGCTCCAACCAATTGAGCCACCTAACCAGGGTTTTTAAGTCTTTTCATTGGCATCCTATTCATCTGTAGGTGTGATCTCTTTAACCCTGGCTCAACAGAAGGGAGAGAAGTGTGTATTAAGAAAAATGTTTTGTTTGTAGGAGAAAAAAAATGTGGGGTGTGTGTGTGTGATTGTAATTATGAAGTTTATATTTTAGACTTCCATTTATTTCATTGAGGCTCAATTTCTGTTTTATAATGTGCTCTTACAGATTCTGAAATTATGAGTAGCATTTATAAAATTAATCATCAGGTTTAATCTGAACTTCATAAAATGGAAACTAAATTTTATAGTCTATGTATTTTTTTTTTTTAGATTTGTTGGACGATTTAAGTCTCGTAAAGAACGAGAAGCAGAACTTGGAGCTAGGGCAAAAGAGTTCACCAATGTTTACATCAAGAATTTTGGAGAAGACATGGATGATGAGCGCCTTAAGGATCTCTTTGGCAAGTTTGGTAATGTGTCTGAATTAAATTTTTACAATGTTCTGAGTAATCTTCGTATTAAAAGCCTACATGACCCTTAACGGCGAATGACCAGAACAGGTCACTATGATGCACACTGACCACCAGGGGGCACAGGCTCAATGCAGGAGCTGCCTCAGATGGTCAGTGTGCTCCCACAGCTGCTCAGCCAGAAGCCAGGCTCACAGTTGGTGAGTGCAGTGGTGGTGGGAGCCTCTCCCACCTCTGCTGCATTGCTAAGGAGCAGAGAGGGCTGAGGAATATACACCAAGCGCCCCACCACCACCACCACCACCACGAACTTGATGCTCCGGTCCTCTAATTGCTCAATATTAGTTTTGGCTAATTTTATCAAAATAAATGAGACTCACATGATACTTAAAATAATTTATAGTTTTTTGGATAAAGCTACTGATCATCTATTGTACTGCAAAGTTATATATATGCGCTTAATATGTAAATTGTCCCTGCCAGAGTTGTATATTTCATCTGTCCTTTTGAGATTAGAAGCTATTTCTAACGTTTGGTTGGATATTGTTAACCACTTATTTCAAATGAATAATGCTGTCAGTTGACCAATTTGTAAATTTGCCAGTTTTATTCTGGATAGCTTTGCATAGCAGAGATTTAAAGTATAACCTTAGGACTAAAGTACATTCAAAAGTAATAATCTATGCTCATACATCTTGCAAATTCTCTAATTAAATGTGATTTCTAACCTTTTTGTCCCGCCTATCTGAGATAATACCCGCCTCAGTTAAGTGTCATTTTTACTTGCGTGGGTGGGATTGGGCATTGAATTCAGAAACATGCCACCTCCAAGTGATTCTTTTGTCTTCCCAAATGTCAGGCACTGTATTCCCTTAACTGAAATTCTTACTAATTCTGATGTCAAGAAAACCAAATTGTTGGGTTAAAAAAAAAAAGCAAGTCTGTACTATTGCTAAGAATAAAACTACTTTTTTTACAGTTGTCTAACACCCCCAAAAAGGAAGTAGGAATGTTTTCAGTTTACTTCTTAGTAGAAATAAAGGGTCTTTGAAGAGACTATTTAATGCCCGTTCATGGCTTTATTTTTGTGCGTTGAAATTTAAAATGTGTAAACTAACTATTGTATGGATATCTGAGTCACTAATTTTTTTTTTTTTTTTTTTTTTTTTTTTTTTTTTTTAGGACCTGCCTTAAGTGTGAAAGTAATGACAGATGAAAGTGGAAAATCCAAAGGTTTTGGATTTGTAAGCTTTGAAAGGCATGAAGATGCACAGAAAGTAAGACTTAAATGTAATAAGTAAAGGCACTAGGTGTTTGTGTTTTATTGCAAAAAACACAGAATACCTAGTATTGCTCTTATGTTGAAATTTACATGCATACCAATGGCTATTGCATGTTCATTTTTACATGTTTTTTTTTTTTAATATATATTTTATTGACTTTACAGAGAGGAAGAGAGGGATAGAGAAACATCGACGAGAGAGAATCATCGATCAGCTGCCTCTTGCACACATCCCACTGGGGATGTGCCGCAACCAAGGTACATGCCCTTGACCGGAATCGAACCTGTGACCTTTCAGTCCGCAGGCCGACGCTCTATCCACTGAGCCAAACCAGCTTCAGCATGTTTTTTTTTTTTTTTTTAATATATTTTATTGATTTTTCACAGAGAGGAAGGGAGGGGGATAGAGAGCTAGAAACATCAATGAGAGAGATACATTGATCAGCTGCCTCCTGCACACCCCAACTGGGGATGTGCCCACAACCAAGGTACATGCCCTTGACTGGAATTGAACCCGGGACCCTTCAGTCTGTAGACTGACCGCTCTATCCATTAAGCCAAACCAGTTTTGGCTCTTTACATGTTTGTTTTTTTGTTTTGTTTTTACTTTATTTTATATATTTTGATATTACAAATTGGGAACCTACATTTTCCCCAAACCGCAAAATTTAAGTTTTTGTTAATGGGTCTGTCTAGATCATTCACAGTGTAACAAACTTTGTTTTTAAAGGAATGAATTTCTATATTTTAAGTTAGTAATTAAAGTTTTCATTATTTCTGTAAGGCTGTGGATGAGATGAATGGAAAGGAGCTCAATGGAAAACAAATTTACGTTGGCCGAGCTCAGAAAAAAGTGGAACGGCAGACGGAACTTAAGCGCAAATTTGAACAGATGAAGCAAGATAGGATCACCAGATACCAGGTTCGTTTTTGTGTTTTAATAAATTTTTATTGATTTCAGAGAGGAAGGGTGAGAGAAAGAGAAACATCATGATGAGAGAGAACCATTGGTGGGCTACCTCCTGAGCAGCCCCTACTGGGGTTCAAACCTGCAATCCAGGAATGTGCCCCAACCAGGAATTGAACCGTGACCTGGTTTCATAGGTCTATGCTCAACCACTGGGCCACACCGGCTGGACTGCCCGGTTCATTTTTAATTAAACAAGCTGAATAAGACAGGGATGAGGAAACCTATTTTATGATCATTTTATTTACAGACAGATAATCGGGGAATTTGAGGGGGGGGGGGGGAGAAACATGGGATAAAACAGTAGGAAGTGTGCTTAAGTACCACCATGGTTTTCTTTTTCTTTTTTTAGGGTGTTAACCTTTATGTGAAGAATCTTGATGATGGTATTGATGATGAACGTCTCCGGAAAGAGTTCTCTCCATTTGGTACAATCACTAGCGCAAAGGTAAGCAAATGATTTTTTTTTTTAAGATATTGGAAAATTTCATGTATTTAAATGTCACATCAATTTACTTCAGGTTTTTCCCCCCCACTTTGCAAATGAATGTAACCAAATAAGGTGCCCTCCCCCACCCCCTTCCCAATTTTATTTTCCTTTTTCTTGGAAATCAAGTTTTTGCTTCATTACTTGAAAAAACAACAAAACATTCAAATTTGATGTGGATGTTGTAGCCCAGATCTGAATTCTTACCTGAGGTAGACTACAGTTGATGACAGACTAGTTACATTGATTGATCCTCAATGATGTGCATTATTCTACACTTTGTTAAACTAGTGCTTTTTTACTGATTGTCAGTCAGTTTATTAGGGGACTATACCTGTTAACAGTTGGGCTATTCTGTATTCACTTAGTCATTCTGAGGAGTTAAACTCTGAAAACAGGACTCTACTAAATCCTGGAATTTTGGGTATAGGAAAAATTAAAGCTCAGTGCTCTGGAATGATCTGTGGCTCATCTTTCTCAGCTTTTCCTGGCAAACCCATTGATCGAGGAAACTTCTGTGAAAGAGGAAATGTTAGGAACACAGTAGATGAATACAAATAAGAAAGCAGGGAATGTGGTTGTCTTGTGTTACAGCCTGTGCTTTTGTAAGAGTACCTGGGGTGTGGTGGAATTTATTCCTTCATGTCTTTAACTTCTGTATTCCTTGAAAGCTGTTTAAACTGAATGAATATACATCCATTTATTTTAAATGTATTTCACATGCATGTTTTACAAAGAGTTCTTAAAGTTTGGCAAGAATTTATTTTGGAGGGAGGAGGGCATTATGTTAATTTAATGCTTCCTGAAAAAACATATCAAGGAGAAAGACAAAAGGGAAAGGCAACTCCTGCATCCCCATTTTTAGTCTCCAAAAAGACTGAGCGTTGGTGATAATTTTTCATGCTTGTCCAGTCTATATGTATAGTTTTTAGAAAACAGGATAATGCCCTGCATATTCTGCAGTTTGCTATTTTATTTAACAATATATCTAAATGCATACTTATTTCAGGCATTTACTTTTTTTTTTCCCCCAAGAGCTAAATATTCATGGTATGGATATGTCATAAATTATTTTACTGTACTTATATTGATAAGCATTTCAGTTGCTTTCATGTTTCCAAAGTTAAATCCACCTTTCTAAAAACTATTTTATTCATATATATTTGTATACATGCCAGTATATTGCTGGTTTGTGGGTGTATATTTAAAATTGATACAACAAAATTGTCCAAAGGGCTGAACAAATTTATCAAGTTAGTAGAAAGCAGTATATATATATATATATCTTTTCAAATGGTGACATATTTTTTCCTGTTTACTATTTTTGTCTTTCTTTGTATACTTTTACACTGAGTGGCCAGATTATTATAATCTGAGTGCATAATAATCTGGCGTGTGTGTGTTAGAAGCCTGGTGCAAGAATTCGTGCATGGGAGATGGGCGGTTGGCCTGCCTGTCTGCTGGATGAACTCCTAATCAAGGAGATAATTTGCATATTATAGCCTTTTATTATATAGGATATATACACTGACTGGCCAGATTATTATGTGTTCAGAGATCATAATAATCTGGCCACTCAGTGTATATTGCATTGGTTGTCATTAGTATGTCAGCCTTTCATTTTATACTGCAAATATTTTCTTTCAGCTTTTCACTTTGTACTTTAGGATCTTGTGTCAGATTAAATTTTTCCTACGTTTTTGCATTTTATATTCAGACCGAGAATCTGGCGATTTTATTTTTTAATGTGATGTGAAGAAGAGGTCTAACAATTATTTTTTGTTATCCCAATGTGTCATATACTACATAAGTTCAAAGTCCATCCTTTGCCTGTATTTTTAAAATGTTCACTTTAGTATACTAAATTCCCATAATTGCATGGTTACGTTTCTGGACTCTTAAATTTATATATAATTGACTTGTATCATTAATTTCATGTTTACAACACAGTGATTCAGTATTTGTATATTTTGTGAAGAGATGACAATTCATCACTGTACAGTCACAAAAAATATTTTTCTTGTAATGAACAAACTTGTAAGATCTCTGCTAACAACCTTTAAGTATACAGTACAGTATTAATAACTACTAGAGGCCTGATACACGAAATTTGTGCAAGAGCAGCCTTCCTTCCTCTCTGGCACCTGGGACCCGGCTTCCCTTGCAGCCCTGGCAGGTCATCCAGTCTAATTAGCATATTACGCTTTTATTGGATGCTGCACATTCCACTTCCATGGTTTATTTTGTAGCTGGGAGTTTATACTGTTTAACACCCCTTTACCCAGTTTTCCTACCCTTTGCCCCTCTGGCACCCACTTGTCTACTTTTTCTTTTTTTTCTATTCGTCTATTTTCTATATCCAGGAACTCAGGAGTTTCTTTTAATTTTTTTTTTTAATTTGTTTTTTGGTTTGATTCCACATATAAAATTGGCATCTGTTTTATTGCAATTTTGTTTATTCCTGTTTAATGTAGCTGGATAGCACGGTTATGTATATTTCTGGGCTAGTTCTTTGCATTTTCTCATTGCTTGCTGCAAAGATCTTTGCAGTCAGTGAAAGTTTCTTGAATATTGTTTATACCCCAATATTCATGGCACTTCTGGTCTTAAGTGTGAAGTTTTTATTTTAAAATATTTGTATTATTATAAGATTCATCTGCTTTCCCTTTTCCTCTTTCCACTTTAAAGAGTAGTAAAGCATTTGGCCCACTTCAATGTCTTGAAGAGTGATTTTAATTGGGTATTTGCACTGATAAGAGTTTTAAATTTAGTAAACCTTGAATTTATTTAGCTATTTAAACCTTAATATTGAAAATCTTACTATCTAACTGAATATCTTTAAAAAGTTGCTGTTGTACCTTTGACCCTTCCTTCTTTGCTTGGCTAGGATAATGCATGTGTGTAGCTTGCCCTTAATATTCAGGTACTAAGGGAAAATTGGGGGGGAAATTATTTCATTATTAACAGGGTTTAGTTGAGTCAGTAGCTATCATTGAATAATGCTCTCCATTTATGCCTCATTCTATCACTGCATTAACCTTGTTTAATGTTTTTTTTCTTTCAATAGGTTATGATGGAGGGTGGTCGCAGCAAAGGATTTGGTTTTGTATGTTTCTCCTCCCCAGAAGAAGCCACTAAAGCAGTTACAGAAATGAATGGTAGAATTGTGGCTACCAAACCATTGTACGTAGCTTTAGCTCAGCGCAAAGAAGAGCGCCAGGCTCACCTCACTAACCAGTATATGCAGAGGATGGCAAGTGTGAGAGCTGTGCCCAACCCGGTAATCAACCCCTACCAGCCAGCACCTCCTTCAGGTTACTTCATGGCAGCTATCCCACAGGTATGTTTTTCTGTTTGAGAATCTGCATTTAATATATAGCAGGTAAATATAGAGAGTATATAGTTAGTTGCATTATTTGCTTTTTTTCGCTGACGTATTTGCTTGCTTTCTACAGACTCAGAACCGTGCTGCATACTATCCTCCTAGCCAAATTGCTCAACTAAGACCAAGTCCTCGCTGGACTGCTCAGGGTGCCAGACCTCATCGTAAGCTTTTTCTTTTTTCTCTTTAAGGCGATGGATTATTTGGAATAAAAATATATCTGGGCCAATTAGCTGTTACATTTCAGTGATATATTAACTTGCTTTTCATAATTTATGGTTATCAGAGTTAATTTGGGGATTCTAGCATTTTTTCCCCCCACCCTGGGTCATTCTTGTTGAATTGATTTTACTTTTTACTAGAGAGGCCTGGTGTATAAATCCGTGCACTGGTGGGGTCCAGCCAGCCTCGCCCCACTGGGGTTGGTTCCTTCTAAGGCTTTTTGGTCCCTGGGCTTTTTCTGTAGGATTATTTTAAGTCTATTGTTGAAAGTATTACGTATGTCCCCTTTTTGCTCCTATTTGTTCTTTCTTTCTTTTAAAAAATTGTAAAATGCTTCACTGCTCTGTGCTGGTTTGATTTTTCCCTTTATAAGTTTAGGAATGGATCCAACTGTTTATTCTTTTTGAACTTATTTTAATGTCTATTTTTTATTTTTATTTTTTTAAGAGAGAGAGAGGAAGGGAGAGAGAGAAACATTGATCGGTTGCCTTCCACACACACTCCAACCAGGGATCGAGCCTGTAACCTGGGTATGTTCCCTGACCAGTAGTCAAACTAGTGACCATTCAGTGCACCAGACGATGCTCAGCCAGCTGAGCCATACTGGCTAGGGCAGGATCTAATTCTTAATTTCATATTTGGATGGGCAGTAGTTTTAAAGATTTTGTTACTTGTATGAGGATCAGGTCCTGGCCATTATCCTGAATGTTTATTTTCTGATGCTATGAGAAGTCTGGGGAAATTGCAGGTGTGAGACTAAAAAATGGTATTTATTTTTAGCCTTTTGTTCAAGTCTCAGCTCTAAAAAGGCAGCATGAACACTTTCAGTGAGTTTTGCCAAGTTAATGTGTGTTCATATCTTTAAACGCAGCATTCCAAAATATGCCCGGTGCTATCCGCCCAGCCGCTCCCCGACCACCATTTAGTACTATGAGACCAGCTTCTTCACAAGTTCCACGAGTCATGTCCACACAGCGTGTTGGTGAGTCTTAATCCACCCTGCCTGTAAAAATTGGTTTACAGTTTGAAGTAGCAAGGTAAATGTACAAAATGTATGTTTTTATTTTTAGCTAACACATCAACACAGACAATGGGTCCTCGTCCCGCAGCGGCTGCTGCTGCAGCTACTCCTGCTGTCCGCACCGTTCCACAGTATAAATACGCTGCAGGAGTTCGCAATCCTCAACAACATCTTAATGCACAACCACAAGTCACCATGCAGCAGGTATGGACTTAGGATTTCTTCATAAGTTGCAATCAGAAATTGAAGACAACTGTATGATATAGGAGAACTTAGGCTGTCTAGAATATCTTGTTAATTGATAGTATGCAAAAATGTCAACTGCATTTAGACAAATGTTTTGCATTTTCTATTAATTTAATTTGGTGACTTAAGTTTTGTTTGGCATGGCTGTAAGGAATAAAGTGTAAAATCAAGTTTATGAAAAGTAGCTTTTTTTTTTCTTTTTTCTTTTCTTTTTTTTTTTTTTTTTTAACTCTGGACCAAGACTGTCATTACTTATAATAGAAATCTGGTTCCACAGAATACTCCAGGTTCAAAAAATAAGTGAAATATCCCATGTAGTGCTAACACTTGAACAAATAAGTGTGTTTCTGGTTTACTCAGCTTCTGTTCAGATTGCAGTCCAACTCTTTGCTGATTTTCTAGTGGTAACTGTCACTTATACTTGCCATCACTTCTGTACTTTAAACTTAGGAATTTTCCTATTTTATATCTAGCCTGCTGTTCATGTACAAGGTCAGGAGCCTTTGACTGCTTCCATGTTGGCATCTGCCCCTCCTCAAGAGCAAAAGCAAATGTTGGGTAAGTACCTTTGTCTTACCTAGTCAGTTAGAGACTAGGAAATAGACACAAAAACCTCTTTTGCACCTAATAATACAGCTAGATTTATCTGAATTGGCATGAATTATTATGATGGCACAGTTTGTCTGCCTAAATAATTTAAAGCCCAGAAAGTTATCAATATGTTGCTTTTGATGGATAGGGTAATAGGGCATTACACCCCTACTTGCCATGCATTCCCGCCACATTGTTGGAAGAGGGAATTTGAACCAAATGAGGGACAAACTTTGTTTGACTTTGCCTGAGCATAGATTTAACAATTTAATATAGCAATATAGATTACGCCTATTTATTTGCTGTATACAAAAGGTTCTTAAGTCCCAGTTTTTAATATGGTAGATGCTTTTAGGATTGTTTTTAATGGAAGTTTTTGAAATGTTTTTGTCCCTAGGTGAACGGCTGTTTCCTCTCATTCAAGCCATGCACCCTACTCTTGCTGGTAAAATCACTGGCATGCTGTTGGAGATCGATAATTCAGAACTTCTTCATATGCTTGAGTCTCCAGAATCTCTTCGTTCTAAAGTAATTTAAATTTGTCATATATCTAACAATTTATTCTACAGATACTGTAGGACTTTTTGTAGGAATTTAATTTCATAGAATGTTTTAAAGTGCTATATACAGGGTGGGCAAAAGTAGTTCAATTTTGGAGGGTTTTTGGTGAGAGTAAGAAGTACAAGAGAGTTCATAATTCTGGAATAGTGGTAGAATGGGACTCAAAAAGATATGGATAATAGTTGGAATTTTTTTTTGAATTATGAGTTCTTCACACTCACCTTTGATGACATTTGTGTACGGTCAGGTTAAGATTCTTCTAGTTACTCCTTTTCAGAGCCAATTTGTTCTCCTTTTTTAGGTTGATGAAGCTGTAGCCGTACTGCAAGCCCACCAAGCTAAAGAGGCTGCCCAGAAAGCAGTTAACAGTGCCACCGGTGTTCCAACTGTTTAAAGTGAGCTTTCCCTCATGGTCATTTAAGCTTGTTTCCTCAAACTTTTATAGCAGTTGGAGCATATTTTGAAACATAGCAAAAATTAATTTTACTATTAAATACAAGTGTATTGATAGTTTTTCAGAGAAATGGAAATGTAAGAATTAAATTTTACCTGTTACCCTGATATTAACTTGAATTTTCAAAATCAAAGCATATTAAACATTAGTGAGTTTTGTTAAATAGGGTTGGCCCTTTGTATGCTTTACTCTCAGGGCTTTGCTAGCTTATGCTTTTTCTTGGGTGGCAGTAATTAGTTGCCCTGAGGCCTCTACTATTGCCCTTTATTACTCCCAAGAAATAATATTACAATGTAGCTGTTCAGCCAGGACCAGAAGTTGGAAAAGCTTTTCTGAAAAGGACCAGATAGGAGACATTTTGGGCTTTGTGGCCCTTGTGTTTGCTGGCAGTTAACTATGTTGCAGTGTGAAAGCAGTCAGACAGTGTGTAAACAAATGAGTGTGGTTGACTGAATTTGGCACACAGCTTTAATTTGCTGCTGACAAGGACTAGTATTGGTCTCATCTTCCTTGTTTCGTTGGCTTTGGTTTTATTGAATATTTGATACATAATTGTAAAATTTAAAGCACACCATGTTTACTTGACACATGTCTATATTGTGATGATTGCCACTGTAGCGATGGTTAGTACCTCCATCATTTTATGTAATGAGACTTTTTTTAGTGGTTGGAATAATTAAGATCTAGTTTCAGAGCAAGTTTTATGATTATAATCTTTTCCCTCCCACATTTACAGATTGATCAGGGACCACGAAAAGAAACTCGTGCTTCACCGAAGAAAAATACCTAAACATCGAAAAACAATATTACAGAAAAAAAAAACATTGCAAAACATAAAATAAATAAAAAAAGGAAAGGAAACTTTGGACCTTATGTACCGAGCAAATGCCAGGTCTAGCAAAAGTAATGCTAGTCCTAGATTACTTATTGATTTAAAAACAGAAACAAAAAAAAAACTACAAAAAAAATCGTAAAATATAAAAACAAATTAATGTTTTATAGACCCTGGGAAAAAGAATTTTCAGCAAAGTACAAAAATTTAAAGCATTCCTTTCTTTAATTTTGTAATTCTTTACTGTGGAATAGCTCAGAATGTCACTTCTGTTTTATGTAACAGAATTGATAACTGAGCAAGGAAACATAATTTGGATTATAAAATTGTTGCTTTAATAAAAATTCCTTAAACAGTAAACAATGATGTTATGCTGTTTTATTTCTCTTGGCTTGTATAAGTAGGTGATAAGTTGGAACTAGCATAAGAACCTTTTGTGATAAAGTTATAGTTGAAATGATCTTAATGTCTATATATATTTTTTGAGATGATGCCAGTTTGACTAAAGGCTGGAGAGAGAATTAGCTTAAGCCTTCATTTATATGGTGGAAGACAAACAGTTACTGTATAGAGTGTGTTTTGGGTATGGTTTTTATATTAAATGTCAAGAATTAATTTCAAGCCTTATTTTTAAAAAATATATATATTTTTAAAATACTTCAAAGAGGAAGAGAGAGAAATAGAAACATCAATGATGAAAATCATTGATCAGTGGCCTCCTGCACACCCCCTGCTGGGGATCGAACCCACAACCTGGGCATGTGTCGTTGACCAGAATTAAACCATGACTCCTAATTCATAGATTGATGTTCAACCACTGAGCCACAAAAGAAAGGCTAGAGAATGGGTTTTAGAAGATCGGGGCCAAGGCCCAAGGCATCTGTGTGAAACAGTTCCCCTGGCAATTTAAATGTATGATACTTTTTGAGAATGGTTTTAATACCAGCTCTCCTGCCTTAGGGAGCAAATCTGAATAAAAACCATTCCTATATCAGCTTTCTGTACGATGAAGCCTTATAGTGCTCTGTGCCTGTAATGCTTTTCATTTGGCTTCCTGTTTTGAAACAAAAAAAACTCCACCTCTATCCCATGGTTTAAATCAGTATATCCTCTCCCCCATAGGCCTTCTAATAACTATTGTATTTTGCCTACCCATGCACTTACTCTCTAAGGGGCAGTTTAGGTAGAGAAGTACATTTTCTATTTTTTGAAATTTGAGAAGAAAATGGTTCAAGATTTGATGTTTGGAGCAGATGAGTTTAAAATATCTTAGAAGTTAAATCTATAAACTTCCCACAGTTGTAGTTTAAAACTTTTAAAATCTAGAGTTGCAGATAATGAGTTTGCAGACAGTAGCTTTATATGGTTTTATGTGCTGCAGATAAATCATCTCCACTGTTATGCAAATACCTTCATTTTGTAGTGAAGCAAACTCCTGCTTGGATTGGAACCAACAAACCAAAGTTTGATCTGGCAGGAGCTGATTTAGGAAAAAACTTGCACGCCATTACTCCATTCTCGTTGTTTGATTCTGTATTTGCAAGTTCATTTCACCAATAGATCCTGGGAAAGTATGGCTGCTTCTATTGGAAGCTTTAAGACTTAAGTTGATAGGTGACATTTTTTTGTGTGAGTGTGTGGGTACTAGGTATAGACTGGCTAATTGAAATTGCTTTTTTAGCATTTTAAGTTTTTCTCCCATTTCTGCATTTATACAGACATGCTTGGATAAGGTCAGCTAAAGGAATGTATCTTGTTTACAACATTTTGTTATTGACTGCTTAACAATGGGGATACATTCTGAGAAAATGCATAGTTAGGCAATGTCTTCCTTATGTGAACATAGAATGCCTTTAACACAAACCTACATGGCAGTTTTCTAGAACTGGCATCCCTGTGGGTTTGTTTATACCAGCATCCCAAAGACACAAGTAACTTGAGCTTAGATGAGGAGGGCTATGACATCACTAGGCAGTAGGAAGTTTTCAGCTCCATTATCATCTTCAGTACTAGAGGCCCAGTGCACGGATTTGTGCACTGGTGGGGTCCTTCTACCTGGCCTTGTGGGGAAAAGGCAGAAACTGGCTCTCTGACATCCCCCAAGGGTCTCACATTGGGAAAGGGCAGTTGTCTGGTAATGCATCCTGGAATTGGGCTCCCTCTCGAGTGTCACTCCACTGCCAAGTGACTGCAGCTCATGCATTGAGTGTCTGCCCCCTGGTGGTTAGTGTGCATCCTAGCTACTGGCCAATTGGCCAGCTGGTCCCCTAGGCTTTTATATGTATGGGACCACGATTGCATACATGGGATCTGTTAATGACTAGAATGTCATTCAGTACATGACTGTACTTTGTGTCCCATCAAACTCTGTGTGGCTGAGAAATGTATCAATAGCAATTGGTGTGAACATCATAGTGTGCACTATACAAACCTAGGTGGTATAGCTCTCTATACATATGGCTACATGGTATAACCTGTTGCTCCTTGGCTACAACTGTACTGTAGGCTGTTGTAACACAGTGGTATTTGTGTATCTAAACAGAAAAGGTACAGTAAAAATGGGACATAAAAGAAAATGGAATACCCGTACAGGGCACTTAATCATAATGGAGCTGGCAGGGCTGGAAGTTGCTCTGAGTGAGTCAGTGAGTGCTTAGTGAATAGAAGGCCTAGGACATTACAGTGGACTGACAACACTTGGGCTACATGAAATTTATAAACTTTTTTTTTCAATAATTAAACTTACTGTAACTTTTACCTTTGCTTAATTTTTTGAATCTTTATTTTTTAAAAAAATACATTTTATTGATTTTTCACAGAGAGGAAGAGAGAGGGATAGAGAGTTAGAAACACCGATGAGAATCATTGATCAGCTGCCTCTTGCACACCCCCTACTGGGGATGTGCCTGCAACCAAGGTACATGCCCTCAACCGGAATCGAACCCATGACCTTTTAGTCTGCAGGCTGACGCTCTATCCACTGAGCCAAACCGGTCTGGGCTAATTTTTTTTTTTAATTTTTATTTTATTTTATTGATTTTGTACAGAGAGGAAGGGAGAGAGAGTTAGAAACATCGATGAGAGAGTGTCATCGATCAGCTGCCTCTTGCACACCCCCCACCGGGGATATGCCTGCAATCAAGGTACATGCCCCTGACCGGAATCGAACTCAGGACCCCTCAGTCCCCAAGCCGACGCTCTATCCATTGAGCCAAACCGGTCCCGGCCGGGCTAATTTTTTGAATCTTTAATAACACTAAAGACAAACACATTGTGCATCTGCACAAAAATGTTTTCTTTAGATCCTTATTCAATACACGTTTTTCTTATTAAAATTAAAAAAAAATTTTTTTTAGATTTTATTAATAATTAAGACATAGCCGAAACCAGTTTGGCTCAATGGATAGAACGTCGGCTTGGGGACTGAAGGGTCCCGGGTTCGATTCCAGTCAAGGGCATGTACCTTGGTTGTGGGCATATCCCCAGTAGGGGATGTGCAAGAGGCAGCTGATCGATGACTCTCATTGAAGTTTCTAACTCTATCTCCCTTTCTCTTTGTACAAAATCAATAAAATATATTTAAAAAAATAATAATTAAGACATAAACACGATTAACCCAGGCCTGTAGGGTCATCTATCACTGCCTTCTTCCTCCATATCTTGTTCCACTGAAAGGTCTTTAGGGGCAATAACGCACAGGGAGCTGTCATCTATGACAACAGTGCCTCCTGAGCTTCCTGGAGGACCTGCCTTACGGCTATTCCTGAGGCTGTCACTCTCTAGAAATGTGTCCGTGGTGTTTGGCTGGGCTTGTTTTTCTATTGTAAGCATGCAGTGCATCATGCACATTCCTCTCTATTAATGAAAACCTATTAGGTATTGGGGTCCATGTTTTCAAACTTTAAAGACCTGCAAAAGCTGCTAATCCCTTTACTGAGTTTTCTTGGGGGTCCTTGTTCTGCAGTTTCCTTTTTCCTCTTCAGCTATGTGTTCCTATTCCAGCCCTGACAACTCCTTAGTCAGTTCCTCAGGAACCACCTCGAGGAGCAGTGTCATCCTCATCCACACCCAGGAAGAGTTGCTTGCCATTTCAACCACAGACTGTTTT